TTTTTCATTAAGCAATATCTAAAAAAAAAAAAAATTTCAGTTGATAGAGGCAGGCATTTAAAAAAAAATATGAAGAGATATATAGATAGACAGATGGAAAAAGTCAATGATAGAAATATGGCAGAGAATAGTAGTAATGGTCACCATGAAAAGAATTAGAAAATATCTTTGTCCAATGATTTTTATTTTGACAATATTCACTTAGGGTGTCATCTATCTATTATTGATGAGTAAAGATATGTTACATAACAAATTAATCATAAAAAGATGATGTAATATTTAATGTTTGGCAGTTTGTCTACTTCCAATAAAGTTGTTTTAAATTTATCTAAATATCAATTTCCTAGCACTAATTCTGTTATATCTCATGGATTGGAATTCTGTGTTTATCCAGTGTTTGTTAAGAAAGAAAATATCTTTGCAGAATTTGAAGTTTTTTTTCTGCTCAAATTTCAAAACTTTCCCCTTCATCTTCAGATAAGTTTAATGCATTAATGATTAGGTATAATGATTTAGCTGATTTCAATTCTGCTACCCCAGTTGATCATGTTGAATTTAAATGGCAGCATGAAAATTTTCATATCATAATAAATCTTTGTAACAAAACATGATTATAACTAAACCTGTCCAGGTAATAGGCATCCTGGGTAAGATGATAACCTATGTCAAACAGAAAGGCCTCTGATCAGGAGGTTTTGAGGAGCGTTGAACCACCTCTTTATTTTGCTGTTCCCAGGTCTACCCTGATTCAGGGTGGTAGCATCTGTTAGAGTCCCAGCTATGGGCAAATAGTTAACCCCCAAGCTGGGGGTCAAAGCACTATGAAAGTGTAAAAATGTTTTGAAATGCTTTGTAAAAAAATTATTACCAGCAATACATTATTTCCAGCAATACATTTTTGAAAAAAAAAAAAAAAAAAAATTACCAACAATACATTTTTGAATGAAAAAAATATTTCCTGCAACACATTTAAAAAAAAAAAAAATACCATCAATAAAAATTTTGTCAGCATTAAATAACCCACTGAGGTCAATATGTTGTAAAACAAAAACCAAACCAGGTGATAGTTACAGATTATGATTATCAACAAAATGATAGCAATTTTGAGTGCATGGGACAAATTTATAAGGTTGGGTCTGAACAAAACACCCAATAGGACTAAATCAATTGAATTTTCGAAAGCATTAACTTAGTTTGATTAAAAGTAAAGTCCTTCCAGTGGACATTTTATGAGGCAATCAGGCTGGTAGATTTCATATGACATCAGCTGTATAGGCTATTCAATAACTTATACAATTTAACTCAAAGATAATGTTCCTTTGCATTTGATTTCATCTCTGGTAAGATTGGTGCAGCATAAGTTGGCAAAGTGGTTGACAGTGTTGTTGCAGCCTGTGCTGGAATGTTATACAAGTAATTGTGTTAAAAACAAATTTAAGTTTGCAAACTCTATGCAAAACTATCCTTTCAGTGCTGAGGATAAGTTTATGTGCTTACTTGATATTAGTAGTATGTTCACCTGTGTACTGTTACAATAAACACGGATGCACAGTATCATGGCCATTTGTCAGCCACATATTCTTGAAACTGTCTTTATAGAATTGAGGATGTTTGCCACTATGTCTGTGGAATTTAACTTTAATAAGATAATGTATAGGATAATTGACAGGATAGCAATGGGAAGTTCTTTAGAGCTGACAATGGCAATATATTTGTTTTTTTTTTAAGTGAGATTTTATTTAATTAGTGACAAAATTGAAAAATTGTTTTTGAACTTTCGAAAACATTTACTAAAAATAAAGTCCTTCTATTGGAGATTTATGAAGCTATTAGGTTGGTGTGTTCCATACAAACAAGATTGTATGGTACCAAAAATTCAAACAATGTTCCTTTGTGTCGGATTTTATCTATCATAAGATTGGTGCAGCACAGATTGACAAAGTGGTTGAGAATAAGTTCATGTGCTTATTTGATTTTAGTAGTTCACCTGTATACCATTGCAAGAAACTTTTGATATTTACTGTACCAGAGCCATTTTTCTAATCCTGCCACATATTCCTGAAGCTGTCTTTATCGAGTTGGAGTTCACCACCATATCCATGGAATTTAGATGATATGGCAATGGGTTCTTCTTTAGGGATAACAATGGCCAATATATTTGTTTTTTACTTGCTTGTATTGAAGGGCACAGGTATTATGTTAGATATGTGGATGGCACCTTCTGTATGTTTGAAAATTAGGTTGAGGTTAGGGGTTTCTATCAAGCACTGAATACACTGCATCCAACATTGCATTTCATGTGAAAAGAGAAAAATGGTGTTCTTCCTTTTCTCTATCTCTAGGTATAAAAATCAAATAAAAATTTTCTAACATCAATGTAATGGAAACCAACCTTTACAGATTTATACACAAGATTCTTTCTGTTCTAAACAGTTGAAACTCAATTTGATTAAAACCATGATTCATTGGTTATATGCTTTGAAATTAAAATTTATTCTGAAATTAAATTTTTTCGGAAGGTTCTGAACAAGAATGTTTACCCTTTGGATGTTGTGGATTCCAACATTAAAGTAAAAAATACAACAATTTTATAAGACTAGGCTGATTGAGAATTGTCCTATATATTTGCTTTTACCATAGATTGGCGAGCTCTGCAATATTTGCCACACAAATTTCAGTTGGTGTAAGAAGTTATTTTTCTTTCAATCCATGTACTGTTTTTGGTACCAAACCCCTATGTTGAAACCGATCTGGAAAGATGCCCTGCTTACATATCATATTACTTCTGTAATTTACAAATTCAGGTGTCTCTGTGATGCTATGTAGGCGGAACCTGTCAACAATAGGAGGCAAGGATCTGTTGTGGATTTGAATCAACCCATAACAAAGGAAAAGTTGGGAAAGGTTATTAAATATAAAATATTTTTATTTTTGTATTTTTTACAACTAAATTTTTTTTAGTTTGTATAAGTTCTTACAGTTCTTTGTAACTGTTTGCTCAGATGAAAAGAAATGTGATTTCTTTGTGTGTATGTGTGAAAATGAGGCAAGAGAGAAATTGAGGAGGGAAGCGTAAGTGTCATGTAGCCTGGCGAGGAAGCGTAAGTGTCATGTAGCCTGGCGAGGAAGCGTAAGTGTCATGTACTTTGGATGAATGAGTAATAGAATCTCTTAAGATGAGCTGTATTATGAACTGTTGCCATCTGTTGCCATTCCTTACTGGCTTGTCTGGTCTATAAACATTGCTTATATACTCTTCAAAGGGATCATTAAGCATGTGCTTTTTATTGTTGGTAGGAATGCAACCTATTGGTTGAAAAATGTTAAATATTTATTTTCAAAGGATTAATTTATTAACCAGAAGGATGCGCAGTTCCTCAAACTCAGAAATCATTCATTTATCATTTCATGTTTGACTGTCTTGGCGTTTGTTTCCATCTTCACTCCATAAATTAACCAACATGCACCAGCCAATATTTGCAAGGGAAAGATGGACAATTTACATAGGTGCATTAATGTATCATGTTCAGTGATTTGATTAATAACCAGTTGTGTGCCAGATCTTATAGCCTGGACATGTTCTCAGTATACATTAAGTCCTACCAACCATCTCTCTGTAAACAGATGAAGTGGTTGTTGGGCTTGAAGATAATTAGCCTTTAATGTTATTTTTTTGTTTGCATATAACAGTCTCGGGTTGTATAATTTTTTTACTGGATTTGCATGTTTTTTGTTATTGATTTTTGCTCTGATGAGAGAAGACTGATAAAACAGTTTAATCGTGATTATATTTTGGTATTACCAATTTATATTTTTTGTTACCCTTTTTTGTTATGATTTCTTTTAATGTTTGGTTTTATTTCTTTAGTAAAATAAAATTCAAATAATTGAAATTAATGTAAATAAAACTAAATTCAAATATAGACATCTGGAAGAAAGACTGATTTAAAAAGTAATTTATAGTTATTTTATGGAGATATATTGTATAATTAAAAAATAAAAAATATATATAAACCATGAAAATAACTTTAAACATCTTTTTATCATTGATTTTAATCTCCAAAACAATTTTTTGCATTCCAAATACTGAATTACCCTCCCCAGCTTTCATTACCTAACCTTATATTTTTTTTCCATAAAAAAATAAAATTTCACATTAGTAATTAGTAAGACTTGGAATTTTAAAATAACTATCAGATATAAATAAAACAAATAATTTGTTTTTAATAAATTCACCCAAAACAAGGTGATAATTCCACTAAAATGCAAAGGGCTACTGGGGGTGAAAGAGAATGAAAAAGACTTGAGAAGGAACTGTAAACCCAGTCCTAAACAGGAAACAAGGGATAAACCTCTACTCTTGTTCAAAAGATTGGAGAGTAGTGTGAACTGGACAATAGGAAAATCTATCTATTAAATTAAGGTAAAAAAAAAAAAAAAAACTGATGTTATTTCATTTGTATTTGAAAAATCTTGCCTTAGAAATGTAAGGAAAACTTGTGTGAAACAATAAAATTTAGTTTATCAGTAATGAGTAGATTCCTGGGAAAGAATAGTTGGATATATTTCAATTTTCATGAGATGATATTTGAAGCCAACAAGTTCATGAAAGCTGGAAAAATAAAAATGTCCTTTAATTTTGGGAACATTTTCCATCTTTATGCAAAGTATAGGAGGGTAATAAGTTTTTGCTTGCACCACTTTTGATTTTTCGCTTCAAATGAGGTTAGGTAAAAAAAAAAAATATATATATCTAAACGGAGATTGTTCAGTATTTCAAATTCAAAGTTAGTCTCAAACATTAAAACTGACAATACCAAATACCAAGACAAAATATAATTCATTGAAAAAAAAAAAAAGAAAGAAAGAGAAAGAGACTGTCTGAATCCCAAATTAAAAGCATTGTGTTTTTCGCCACCCCTTTCCTACCCTCCGATTCTATAAAACAAAGCATTTCAAATGAAATGTATTGTTTCTGTTTCTTCTAAATGATGATAATGATGATTGTTCTGATCCCTGCCTCTTGTAGGCGCATCTGCGTTAAAAAGAGATGTCAAGAACTGAAGCTGCCAGGTTCTCTCTCTTCTCCTACCTCTCTCATTAATTCTTTTCGTTCGTTTCTCCCCTCACTAAACATACACACCGCCACCTTCCTCCACCTCCCTTCTTTGTCTTTATCCCTTTTGTTTTGTTTTTTCCTCTTCTTCATTTCCCCACCACCTTGTTTTCTTTTCTATCTCTCTTTCTGTTTTAACCATTTCCCCATTACTTTTCTTTCTTTGCTCTGTTCTTTCTCTTTCTCTCTAATTATTCTTCCGTTTTCTTTGTTCCTTTTTTTTCTGTCTTACTCTTTCTCCGCCTACTTTTTTATCTATTTTTTACCTAGTTTCTTTCTTTCTTTCTTTTTTTTTTCTGTTTGGTTCTATCTTTTCGTCTTTTTTTCTTTATTTATCATTTCCTTTTCTTTTCTCTCAAACACGTTTTCTCTTTTCCCGCGAAATATACCCTTTCTTTCCTCTCTTTTTTTCTTTCTTCTCTCTATGCCCAAATCCTTCCCCTTCTTTACTCTCTCCTCTGTCACTCTCTTCATTCCTCCGTCTTCTTATGTCCTCCTCCTTCCATGCCCCCCCCTTTTTTTTCTTGACTCCACCCACAAAATTGACCGACATCTTCACTAGCCAATCAACATTGGTGCCACTAGCAACAAGGTGAGGTGAACTTCCTGATTGTTCAAACTTTAGCTGCTCCAATCACCTCAGGAGGTCAATAAAAGCCTTCTCTTTTCTTTTTCTCTAATTATTCCGTTTAGTCCTGGATGTTTTTTTTTTTTTTTTTCCTGCTATTGATGTCTATTCCTAACATTAGTAGACATGTCAGAAAAAATGCAAATAAACATTAAAATGTTAAAAATATTGATTATATATTATATTGCATATTTTATTGCATGGAATTTTATATCAATTATATTTAAAAGCTCAGATGTGTAGAGATTGGCACTGATCATTTAAGCATTCTATAACATATCCCAAACAAATATTCCAATAGAAAATAAGCAACCATGCTTTCCTGCCTGAGGTCAGTGTACTGATGATGAGTGGTGGGTATGCTGATGACATAGGCATTCATTGTTGGGATAAGAATGATCTTGAAAAAAAAAAAAAAAAAAATTAGTAACCTCATATTCCAAGAAATAAAACTCAAGGTAAACAAAAACAAAAAAACTATCTGGAATTTGAATGGAAGCTGTGAAGGCACATACCCTGAATTCATCATAAAAATTCAAGATACAAGAAAGTGAACATAGACTAGGAAGTGCTGGGGGTAGAATACAAACCTTGGTTTCTCTTATCCGTGATTAACCCAATAGAACTTAAGACTACAATCTTGGTTTCCCTCTCAAGGCCAAGGTACAGATGATGAGTGGGATATGCTGATAACAGGTATTTATAATTGGGATACGAATGATCATGAACAGAACATCAACTTCCTCTACCAAGTGTTCCAAGAAATAAGATCAAAGATAGAACTTTCCAAAACAGAAACTATGACGTGGAATTGAAATGAAAGTCTTGGTGCAATACCTGAATCCATCATAAAAGCTGGGGATGTGAAATTAGTAAATGTTGAACACTTCAAATACCTCAGTGTATGGATCAATTATAGCAAATTTAGCATAGGTGATAAAGAAACTGAACAGAGAATAGACTGCTAACACCAGAAAATTCTATGAAACAAAACCATTAACCTGAAATTTGGATACTGTTCTTAAATAGCTTTGTCAGATGAAGACTTCCATATGGATGTCATGCAAGATGCCAAAACCTGTTCAGAAATATCTAAACTCTCACCTGCTTACATCACCATCCCCTTAACTTTTCTAATCATAGGGAGGATCTGAATACAGAAACCATACTAAATCTTCTCCACAATGGTCTATCAACAGCAGCCATCAACTATACTGGTATAGTCATACTTGTCCATTGTTTGATATTGGACAACCAGTTTTTACATTGACATCCTCTCCAATGTCCACCTCAATGATGGTCTTGCACAGGCTACCATGCCTTGTAATGTGTCCAAACCACGCCATTTGTCCCCCATTTGACAGCAGTGAGAAGAGGTTCCTGGTGGCCCACAAAACTTTCAACCCTTTTTTTGCACAAATTCATTGGTTTTATGTTCCTAATAGAAGATGCCAAAGAGTTTTCTCATGCATTTGTTCTCAAATGCTTGGATTCTTCTCTCTGTTTCTGCTAACAGAGTCCATGTTTCACATCCATATAAGAGAATAGAGACTCTGTAAGACCACTTCCTAAAATCAATGGTTAAAATAGCTTTGCGTGAGTGTGGCCAGTCAGTCTTGATGAAGACCATATTTCTTCAAAAATCCTGGACTTGTGCAACAGAATCAGGCAGACAAAGAACTGTACCAAACAGCAGAAACCACATGAGAGCAAAAATACATATATTGTATGTCAGTTAAAGAGAAAATGATGATCTAATGAAGATGTTGACATTCCACACTACTTCAAATAAAAAGTTAGGAAGGAAACTCCCCATCAATACTGGGAAGAGTGATAACAGCTACTGGGCTTGAGAAGAGAAAATAATGACATAATCAAGATGTTGACATTCCACACTACTTCAAATAAAAGGCTAGGAAGGAAACTCTCCAATACTGGAAAGAGTGATAATAGCTACTGGGCTTAAGAGAAGAGAAAATAATGACATAATCAAGAGTGATAACAGCTACTGAATGCCACTAGTATGCAGGAGATTACAGAGAGTTAAAGTGAAACAGAAGACTGAGAATAGGGAGGATTGAGGAAAAACCAAAACATGAACAGGCATAGTGTGTTGCTCTCCTAGATTTTTGCATGAGCCATGATGATGGGAGTCAGAAAAGGTTCTCTGTGGTGGTTAAATGAAAGTTTTGTTTTGGAGGTGTTAAAATTTACAAACTAGTTTTTGTTGCAGATAACCACGGATTGAAGATACTTTTTGAGAGAAGCTGCAAAGTTTACTTTGTAAGATTTGCCGGATTAGCTACCAAGAAAGGAGTAAACGGTAACAAAATCTGCATAGTATATATCATGTCTATTATACCATATATTACATTTTTTATATACTTCTCCATTTTATTGGGATTGTGCATACAAAATATAAGTGAATCTGGTTTCACACTAATGAATATAGCATCTTTTTTATCTTACAAAGCAAGAACACTGACACACATATATATATATATATATATATATATATATATATATATATATATATATATATATGGTACAAGGAGTAAATTGTCGCCAATTTTATATTTTTAGTTTTGCACATGTTTTTGATTTTGTTAACTGCACAGTATACCAGGGTCAGTTGGACACTGTGAGAAAATGAACACCATGGCATAATTCACTCTGCCAGAAATTTAAAAATGCCATGCTGTACTGCTTGACATTCACACAGGAAACTCCAATATAAACATTTCAATGTCAATCTGAGGACAGTGCAGAGGATTCAGAAGAGATGAAGGAGTCTAATGGTGATTATGAAGGGGTTTGGAGTGATCACTAATCTTCCCACAACATGGAGGCCTACATCAAGTCCCTTGAGGAGGTAGTGCTGCTCTGAGTCAAGAGGGTGGCTGCTAGAAGACCTTACAACAGGACCCTGCACCATGCCACACAAGCAGGCGAACCCAGTCATGACTTTCATACAATTTCTGTGACCACATCACGCCTTACATCTGGCTAATTCCCCAGAATGCAATCCCCTTTATTATTCTGTGGAGTGCAGGTGAGGGAATGACCAACAAATACTGCCATAATCCTTGACTTCAATTCATCTTTAGTGTTACAACACTAAAGATGCATTGAAGTCGAGGATTATGGCAGTATTTACCAACCTAAACAAGGAGACTGTCCAGAAATGTCCAGATTCTGAATTTGTCTGGAAGCTGAGGTTGATGCCAATGGTAATTTTACTGAATAAATTTTCTCTTTAATATCAAGATATTTTTGTGTAATTTTTCATAAATATATGTTAAAATGAAATGTCAGTGTTATTTTCATTTTTGTGTAATTTAGACAATTTATCCATCACAATATATATATATATATAAAGTGTGCAGCTCATATTTTATATCATAAAGAAACAATTTATAAAAAGAATTAAATGGAAATGTTAATGTGATTAATGGAGAAATCACTTCACTAACAAGTATTTGGTTGACACATATTTTGTCTTAGTGTTTGCCTCTGTATAGAAAAATTATATCCTGAAGATGACAGTTTGAAGTTACCGAAAGTACTTGACATGTGTCTTCAGTCTGACAACAACTCAAATATTATATAAGACATTAACTTCCTATCAATTCCTTGAATAATAATTCAAGGAATTGATAGGAAGTTAATGTCTCATTACATCTTGTTAATGAAGTGATTTCACCATTAATCACATTAACATTGCTATTTAATTCTTTGTATAAATTGTTTCTTTTTTGATATATATATATATATATATATATATATATAACATTTTACCATAGTTGGATCATTGAGCCAATGCAAAGGATTCTTATTTAGCTGGATAGTATGTGCTACGCCAGGGCTACATACATACATTTTTGAATTCAAAGTTAGTTTCTTCTAGAGCAGTTGCCACCCAAGGCTATAGAACCTAGTGTATCCAGCTATTGACCCATAGCTGGTGAGGAAAAAGATGATGCATACCTTTCCCAACTGAATGTAATGGATCCGACTAGTATTTGAACTCGGCTCTCCAATTCTTCAATCCGAATTCTATCTATTATCCCACTGTATCTCTAAAATACATATATATTCAGTTGTATGGATATGAGTATGACCCTGAGTTTCACCCTTTTGTGATTAAGTTCTGCACATACAAAATGTGTGTGTGTGTGTATATATATATATATATATATATATAAAAAGGTATAAAATTTATTACAAGACATATTAAAACAATATTAAATAATAAAAAAAAACTCAACAAGGTGGGGGAAGAAACCGGTTTCGCTCCCGCTCTTCCACGGGAGATTCAAAATTAAAACAGAGAAATGTACAATAAGAATAGGTGGAAAAAAAAAAATATATATTTATTTATATATATATATAAACTTTAAACATTATTTTTTTTAGTGATTATGCATATTTCAGTCAACACCTGATTTTTTAACTTTTTTAAACAGTTATTGTAAATCTATTGGCCTGAATATCAGAGAAATCTTATTGAAAGGAAAAGATGCATCCCCAACAGGAATTGAACCTGCATCACCCTTTGCAGGAAAAACCATTCTTAGATCCAATGTGCTTTTAATTAAATTGTGATGGATTGATGTAATGGATTTCTATTTATTGATCTGATAGATTTTTATCACATGAACGTTATTTTTAGTGGATACCCATATTTGAGTAGATACTGTTTTTTTTTAAAATATTTTTAAGCAGTATATTTGTTATCATCTAACAACTGGATTATTTGAGAAATGTTATTAAAGATGCACCCTCTGTAACATAAAAAAAGACAATTTCTAAGATAATCCATTACTTCTTTAGAAACATTACTTAACATTTAAATATCAATTTTTTTGTTATTTCCCCAGACTTCAAAGTTTCTTGGAAAATGTCCATTCTTCAGGGGGTTCTGGTTCTAAATG